GGCTCAGCCACAACAAGGAGTGAATTGGCATCTTTTGCAGCAATCTGGATGGAACTAGAGAGTATTGCCATAAGTGGAGTATGTCGAGAATGGAGTAAGAAGACCCACGTACTTCCTAATAATTTGGAACTAACTGACAAGCACACAGGGGCATGGAAAGAAGTAAAAATCAAAACCACTGGAAATCAGGAAGGGGGAGGTGAAAACCCAGCCAACAGGTGCCATGAACCATATTCAGGTGACGGCACACTTACAGCCCTGAGCAAAGCTTTACAAAGCTCCATGTAACAAAACAATTTGTATCTCCTTAATATTTGGAAATAAAACATAATTTATACAAAGAAATGGGGCTGGTAGGATTCCCATTTATGTGTTCTGGACACACAAACCTAGAGTCTTCCAACTCCATTCTGAGTCACACCATTGCAACCACCAACAACTTCCTGAACCGCAAGCAAATAATGTGGGAGGGGTGTGAATGGTACCATAGTATGAGTCTTTCCTTTTTTTTTTTTTTCTAGTATATTGATCTTAGATCAACAGTGTTCCAGAGATTGAAGTGATCTTAGGAATCTGCTGTTCCAGTCCTTCCCCTTCCTGATCCCTGAAACTGACTGCATAGTGGGGGTTGAGGGGGTGGGGAGTGGCCCTGAATGACTGGCAGGGTCACCCCCCCAGGGTTCAGGTGTCACTGTTGTCATCATTGTTGTTAAACTGTAGGATACAGGAATATTGAGTTGAAGTACCGATAATTCTTTATGTATCACTTTTTCAAAAGGGTAATTTTCATGTGGGAACTGATTCTTAAAATAATTACTTCTATCCAGGGATGGCATTATCCTTAGAAGACCAATATTATCTCAGAGGACCAATATTCTCTGGTCCAACTCACTGTCAGATCTTAGTAATTCTCAGTATCTGGGAGCAACCTCAGTTCTTCATATTCTTCCGTTGATTCGTTACAACACACTCCTCATCTTACCACAAAAAGCTCCAGTAATATACACAATCTGTGAATGCTTATTTTAAAAGATTTAGGGATATGTATGTGTGTGTGTGTGTGTGTGTGTGTGTGTGAATATATCACATCAGAAATTGAAATAAAGGGTAGAAATAGGGAGGGAGGAACTCCTAGGACAAAGCTGACGACATCTTTCTGGAATCACATATTCTTGCCGCTTTATATAAAGTTCTTGGACAACAGAAGTAGCAATAAAACTACTGGATTAAACACACAGGAAAAAGAAAATGCAGAGAACCGACTGCATTAAAAAAAGAACAAAAATCATTGTAACAGAAGACAATTGAAAAAACAAAGTACTTCAGTCTTTAAAACATTTAGAAAACTATGCTTGGTAGAATCTCTATATTCACACATTCCACCATAAATGCAAGAAAAAGACACAGTCGTTATCTAAATGCAAAAAAGGAAATCTTTAGTTTGGTTTTTATTTTAGGTTCTTAGAATTATGAACTTTAAAATACTTACTGTAGATAGTCTTCTACTGACCATAGGATATTATCGTAGCTTTCTGAGTTTGAATCAGAGTTCACGGTCTGGTATTTACCTGAAATCATCTTAGTGTTCTAGTTTATTTTATTTTGTGTTGTTACAGTGTTTGTCTGTGCCGGCAGCTATAATCCTAAATCCCAAGAAATCTACTGCTGCCTTCTGTCCTGCTGACACAGAGAAAGGTCTCCTCTGCGGGGTTTAGATCACCCCGCACGTCTTGGTTGTGAAACATTTTCATGGTGGCGAAACCCTTTTAGAATCAGATAGCATCTGGAAACGTAGAGATTATGGGATATATCATTTGAAATGGCCAAATCGGTATTTCTACTTTGTTCTCTGAGATTTTGTTCCCTGAAGAAATATTCAGGCATCATGATCTTCAAATACAGCCTATTTGTCACGTTTCTTGCAGATAAAATTTGGACGGAAATTGGCGCACGCCACACGTAGTGCTGTGTCTAGAAACTGAAGCTGCTGACGATCGTGAACTCATTGAGGAAATGATAAGCCTGTACTGGACCCCGCATTAAAGACACTATGGCCTGCAATTAATTATATGTTCATTAAACCTCATTTAGATTCCTGAAATACCTAGTAAAAACCCAAATACATAAGACTGAAGATGAAAAAATGATAAAATAGCAAACCAGCACCTATGAATTAAGAAATGGATGGTGTCAAGGAAGCCATAAAGCATCAGATAAATGATTTTTGATTCATTCATCTCTGTAGCTGTGTAGAATCCACCCACAAAGGGCAGGGTGTGGCCCAGCCGCCTCATTACGGGGCTGGCCAATGGGATTTGAGCAGACAGGTTTTAGGCTGAGATTCAATTGGGCTCTTTTTGGCCCATTAGCTCCTTGATAAATGAGGTCACATTTAGGCTAGGCTGCTGGTGTCAGGAGGGAGGTGAGCGGTTTGTACAGGAGAGCTAAGGTGTGCCGGTATAGACCAACTGACTTCCAGAAGCACAGCCCAGCCTCATCAGGACCAGCACACACACTTAGGAACAGTTGCATAGCACCACAGTCTACTCTGGTCTGTAATTTTGTCTGTGGCAGATAAACTATCTTAGCCTGGACCGCCAATGATAAGGATAAGCCGCACAGCTGGGAAAGACCACTAATTCTAAGTAACAGCATTCAAAACACCTCAGGTTTGAATAGAAGTTAACTAGGCAGACAGAGGACAAGTTTCCCTTCAGTGAAGCAGCACTTGGTAGGGACCAGCATATTTGGAAGCTTGCTGGCAGGACAGAATAAAAATCCTCTGCAAAAAGTAAAGGGAAGGATGGTATTGAAATGAGCCCTGAGACTAACAACTTAGCAGCCAAACCACACAGTGCTTGGTAGGGGGACACGTGAGAATTTGGCATCATCTGAAGAATAGAAAGCAGTAAACAGGTAATTATTATATGCCCAATTAGTGATTTATGTTTTATGTTCAATTAAAAGGCTGATTTAGAATCACGGATTAGAAGGGAAAGGGAGGCGGGGTGGGACAGTCAGCCGGAGACTGTGTGATCGTTGCATACAGAAGTTTTAAAGGGCAGGGTTGTAATTTCTGGTATGATTTTATTATTTTCGTAACCTTAAGAAAGTCGTTTAACTTTTCTTAGTCTCAATTTCTTAAGTGTGAAACAGGAATAGTAACAGCATTTCTCTGATGCTTTGTGGAATATATTAATAACTGTATATACAACAGGAATTGAATGACAGTTTTACGACAGTCCTACCGCCAAAATCCTAAAACTGAGGACAATAAATACTATTTCCCCAGATGTAGAGAAACAAGCCAGCACCCTACTCTCCAAGGGGAGGGAGTGGAGATCAAGGAAAACCAACTGCAGCAATTTCAGGCGGCCACAGCAAGGGAGATGGACTCTCTGAGAGGCAGGAGTCCATGAAGCCAGGTTGCTGTTGTAGTCAGAGAAAAATGCTATGGAATGATTCTTAGGGAAGCTGATGTGTGACCCTGGCTTTGCACTTGGGGAATTGGAAGAAGGTTGGCTAGTGGGGGCGGCAACAGTAACTCTCAAAGAGGGTGATGCAAGAGCCCCCAGCAGGAGCGTGTTCCCCTGGGGTGCAGTGGGCATGGGTGTGGTGGCCTGGGAGATGGTTGAGGGGATAGGTGGGAAGTGACAAGAGCTATGACAAGTTCAAGTGCATCCTCCTCCCTGGTGTCCTTGGGGAGAGGGAGCCTCCATCCAGGGCTTGTGTAAAGGCTCAGCTACTAATATCTGTTCACCTGTCCCACAGGATGTATCAGTAGTCCCTCCAATATGACAACAATCTTGCACCTTCTTTTCAACCTCTCTACCCAGACCCAGTCTTGAAGAATTCAGACTTAGACATTGGCAGAGGAGGGAGAACAAAAATCTGACCATTCTTTCCCTGTCTAGATACCTAGGGCCAGGCTGGCTCTATAGTTGTGGAAAACACTTCTCAATGAACATGGGGTTGACTTTTAGATTGGACTCGAATTTTTATATTGGAAAGAGAACATTAATTCCTGGCATTGTTGTTTCAGCAAAATTTAGCTAGAGATGTGTAACGATTGCCCACCAACCCTGAAGGCAGGGGAGAGGAAGATTTTACAGGGCACGGATGAAAGATTACTGGGGGAAAAAAATAAACGTTTCAAATATGTACATTATGAAATGAACACTGTTTAATACGCTGGTTTTACAAAGAAGATATGAGATAATAGTAAATCAGTGAAGATAGTCTTTGGTACTTAGCAAAGGCTTGATAAATGTTAGCTGCTTTTATAATTATTGTTTCCTGAAAGAAAAATATCAAATTTCCATACATTCCAAAATGGAAAGGGCTGCGTTGAATAATAATGATGGAAAATCGTACAGGCAGAGATGAAAGCCCCACATGTCAGACATCCAGACATGGAATAGTGAACATTCTGCATTTGAATAGAAGATTCTGTGGGCCTCCTTTAACTATAGAATTCTGCTATTTTAAGCCTGAGTAATCGTTCCTGTTTTTCTTACCCACAAATTAAATAGACACAAGTCTTATATTTTTTAATTTAAAGAAACATAGATTATTTTTATCCTCCCAGAGCATCTACTATTCAACCTATACCATTCATGCTTCTGGCTTGGAGTATTAGCGTCTCTCAGACGCAAATTGCAGAAACGTACCTGTCAGTGTTCATTCTTTGAGGGCTGGTTCTTTATCTTTGAAAATGATACTGACATAAATTGAGTGAAACGTCGCTACAGTACAGTCATCACTCTCTGACAAGGGACTGAGATTTTATATAACTGTAACTTCCTTTCTTTGTACTAACTCATCTCCAGCTTCTGAACAAAGGATATTTCAACAACAAAACAGATCAGAGGGTAAGCACGGTACTTCATATTTTTTTTTGTAAGCAACTGTCACTTTCAGAGATGAACAACACTGTCAGTGTCTTGACGCAGAGAACAAAGCACTTCATTTTCATCGAGAGAAAGACGAGTCATACTCACGTCCTGGTTGGTCATCTCCCAGTAGGGTCTCTCTCCGTAAGACACCACCTCCCACATCACTATTCCGTAACTCCAGACGTCACTGGCAGAGGTAAACTTTCGGAAAGCTATTGCTTCTGGGGCAGTCCATCTGATTGGAATCTTGCCTCCCTGAAACAGAAAAAGAACTTAAAATATCGGGTGGTGCCTGTGGCTCAAGGAATAGGGCCCTGGCCCCATATACCGGAGGTGGCAGGTTCAAACCCAGCCCCAGCCAAAAACTGCAACAACAACAACAAAATTTTAAAATATCTCCAAATATCTCAAATCTATCTGACAATACTCCTGCCACGCTGGAACGATCTAGAAAGAGAAAGCATTTTTGAGTGACTCTGATAGCACACAGCTTCTTTCCTCAGTTCTCAGCCCATAAGCACTTGGAGACTGGCTACTAATTGGCTGTCCAGAAAGTTTCTAGTTTGAACTCAGGCTATGGGGAAACGTGTGAACCCACAAGTGAGCTGGGATACTCAGGATGGCAGCGCTAAGTAAGGGCAGCCACTCAGGTGAGGAAGGCCTGCTGCTCTCAGGACCCGCTAACAGAGAGGGGAGACTCGGTTCCCTGGGGGTCTTTTATCCTTTAATACACAAACTGTGCATGGACATTCTATGTTTCTGAATGAAACCTTGAGAAGCTTAGCAGGTAAGGAGGCAAGCATGAAAATCAGATATACTGGGCAGTGCCTGTGGCTCAAAGGAATAGGGCGCTGGCCCCATATACCAGAGGTGGTGGGTTCAAACCCAGCCCTGGCCAAAAA